CCCAAAATTCCCGTTTTTTCCGGAATTTTACCAAATCGGTGGAATTTGGGCTCCGTGCCAGCCTGGCCACTGCTGGATCCTCCCAAAACCCCCCAAAATCCCCCCAAAATCCCCCTTTTTTAACGGAATTCTCCCGGTTTTTAACGGAATTTTCCTGTTTTTTTTCCCGAAATTCCCGTTTTTCCCCCAGAATTCCCGTTTTTTTCCCAGATTTTACCAAATCGGTGGAATTTGGGCTCCGTGCCAGCCGTGCCACCACCGAGAGCCGCTGGATCCTCCCAAAACCCCCCAAAACCCTCCAAAATCCCCCTTTTTTAACGGAATTTCCCCGCTTTTTAACGGAATTTTCCCGGTTTTTTTCCCAAAATTCCCGTTTTTTCCCCAAAATTCCCGTTTTTTCCCAAATTTTATCAAATCCGTGGAATTTGGGGTCCGTGCCAGCCTGGCCACTGCTGGATCCTCCCAAAACCCCCCAAAATACCCCCAAAACCTCCCAACGGAATTTTCCCGTTTTTTTTCCCGAAATTCCCGTTTTTTTCCGGAATTTTACCAAATCCGTGGAATTTGGGCTCCGTGCCAGCCTGGCCACTGCTGGATCCTCCCAAAATACCCCAAAATACCCCCAAAACCTCCCAAACCCCCCCAAAATCCCCCCAAAATCCCCATTTTTTAACGGAATTTTCCCATTTTTTTTCCCGAAATTCCCATTTTTTTCCCGAAATTCCCGTTTTTTCCCAAATTTTACCAAATCCGTGGAATTTGGGCTCCATGCCAGCCTGGCCACCACCGAGAGCCGCTGGATCGTCCCAAAACCCCCCAAAATCCCCATTTTTTAACGGAATTTTCCCATTTTTTTCCCAAATTTCCCTTTTTTTTTCCCCGAAATTCCCGTTTTTTTCCGGAATTTTACCAAATCCGTGGAATTTGGGCTCCGTGCCAGCCGTGCCACCACCGCCAGCCGCTGGATCCTCCCAAAACCTCCCAAAATCCCCCCAAAATCCCCATTTTTTAACGGAATTTTCCCGTTTTTTTTCCTGAAATTCCCGTTTTTTCCCCAGAATTCCCGTTTTTTCCGGAATTTTACCAAATCGGTGGAATTTGGGCTCCGTGCCACCACCGAAAGCCGCTGGATCCTCCCAAAACCTCCCAAAATCCCCCCAAAATCCCCATTTTTTAACGGAATTTTCCCGTTTTTTAACAGAATTTTCCCGTTTTTTTTCCCGAAATTCCCGTTTTTTCCCGAATTTTACCAAATCAGTGGAATTTGGGCTCCGTGCCAGCCTGGCCACCACCGAGAGCCGCTGGAACCTCCCAAATCCCCCCAAAATCCCCATTTTTTAACGGAATTTCCCCGTTTTTTTCCCGAAATTCCCGTTTTTTCCCCAGAATTCCCGTTTTTTTCGGGAATTTTACCAAATCGGTGGAATTTGGGCTCCGTGCCAGCCGTGCCACCACCGAGAGCCGCTGGATCCTCCCAAAACCCCCCAAAATTCCCCTTTTTTAACGGAATTTCCCCATTTTTTAACAGAATTTCCCCATTTTTAAACGGAATTTTCCCGTTTTTTTTCCCGAAATTCCCATTTTTTTCCCGAATTTTACCAAATCCGTGGAATTTGGGCTCCGTGCCAGCCTGGCCACTGCTGGATCCTCCCAAAACCTCCCAAAATCCCCTCAAAATCCCCATTTTTTAACGGAATTTTCCCGGGTTTTTTCCCAAAATTCCCATTTTTTTTTCCCGAAATTCCCAAAATTCCC